TATAATCGGCCACATGCAATAGTCAGTACTCAAAATGTGATCTTATTCTCATCTCCTTAGACTGCAAAAGTTGCTGCCCCTGACTGGACATTTTTACACTGCTTGCCCAGAAAACCAGAAGAAGTGAATGATGAAGTGTTTTATTCTCCACGATCATTAGTGTTCCCAGAGGCAGAAAACAGAAAGTGGACTATCATGGTAAGCAAGGAAGGGGAGATGGAGTAGGGAAGAACTGTCTTCATGCTTCCAATGTGGCAGTCATACATTGGGGTAAAGAATAAACAACCAAGATTATCCATTTACACTGATTATTCCTATGGCATCTATAATTTTTTATTTTATATGCTCCTTAACTATTTTGTATGTGGGTGGTACATACTTTCTATGGTGTGCTAGTGAAGGTCAGAAGAGAACTTCTAGAGTCAGTTCTCTCATTCTAGCACATGGGTCCTGGGGGTCAAACTCATACCTTTAGGCTTGGTGGCAAGCACCTTTACCTGATGAGACATCTTGGTGGCCTGGCATCTATTTTTTGTTCAGAAAGTTCATGATAAATCATTATTCCTTACTATCATACATAATGGACTAAAATTGATCCCTTTCCAAATTCACCCATTTTAATCAAAATTCCCACTGCCCTGAGAACCAGCCACTATTTTCTGCCAACTATTATAAGTTGTAGAGTTTTTATTACTTTTTTTTCATTTGCTTCTGTTCAGAGAAACCCCTAATTCAGTATCTGATAAAAAATGGGCATTCAAAAATATTATTTCTTTCTTCCTCTCTCCCTCTTTCATTTTTTTCATGATAACTTAATCAAATAATTTTAGTTCTCTGAGTTGAGTTATACAGATCTATTTTTTTTTAGGTATAGAACATTTCCAAAATTCACGGCAAACTTCACTTCAGAAATTATTAGTCCCTTTCAGGTGAAGCCATTAGTCATCTTTATCAACAGTATTCTAAAAAATATTGACCTCAAGACTGCTTTGCAATGTTCTAGTGGAAAATTTCACTGGAAATTTGAATACTCACATGCTGTAAGTTAGCTCCACCATTTTGTTAAAATATTCTATTTATTATTTTTTCATATGTATGGATGTATTGCCTGCTTGTGTGTGAGTGCACAAGTAGTGAAATGCCTGCAGAGGTCAGGAGGGGGCATTGAATTCCTCTAGAACTGGATTTAAGGAGGGTTGTTAGCCACCATGTGGGTGCTGGGAATCAAACCCAAGTCCTCTGCAAGAGCAGTCAGTACTCTTAACTGCTGAGATGTCGCTCCAGGCCCCAGCTCTACCATTTTAAAGTCACTTAACTGTTATCAATTACTGTAATAACCAGAGTCTTAATTCGAAAAAAGAGTTCATTCTAGGTGGGTAAACAGAAAGAAGTTAATTAAAAGGCATTAAGAATCTCCAAGACTCTCTTGGGAGAGGTGATACACAGTGGATCATTATTAAATACCACAAAATCAAGGATATCACAGGCAGGAAAACTGCACCAATCACTGTGGATCTTTTACCATCTGAAACCTACTAACATAATCAACCACATCCTAGCACCTAGGGCTATTGAAACTAGATGCTGTACCACATTATAACTACACCAACTGAAACACAAACTTGTACTTGCACATGGAACAGAAGAATCAGTCTCCCAAAGAGTGGCTTCCTACTTTATATTGTTCACAGTAAATGTAGATTTTTAAATTTTTTTCTTTCTTTATTTTATGTGTAAAAGTGTTTTGCCTGCATATAAGTTCACCCGTGTTGTGCAAAGCTCACATAGGCCAGAAGAGGGCGTCAGATCCCTTGGAACTGGAGTACAGATGGTTCTTATCCATCATGTGGGAACTGGGGATTGAACCTGGATCCTCTGGAAGAACAGTCAGCTTAACTGCTGAGCTATCTCTTCAGCCACAGTAGATGTAGTTTAATAGCATTCCTATGCCATAACTGCAAAGAAAACTGGGAAATGCAATAATAGCTTCCCATCACTAGAGTAGAGTAAAGCATGCTGGAAAAAACTAGGTGCTAATATTTATTAGTCTACTAATGAGAATAGGAACAGTCTGAACATTAAATAATGTATGTGAAGAATTTAGCATAGAGCCTAAAACATTGTATATATTATAATAGTTAGCGTCATGTTTGTGTTCTTCAGTGTTGACCTGAAACTAATTTTGGCCAAAATGGCAGTTGCTATGACACCTAGACTTGTGCCTCTGAAGCTTTAATGTGCGTTTCAATTACCAAGGTATTTTGTTAAGTGAAAGATTGGACTGACTAGGACTGAGATGGGGCTGGAAATTTAGCATTTCTAACAAGAACCTAGGTAATTCAGGTGCCATTGTCATACGGACCACATTTTGAGTATTAAAGATTTAGATGACAAAAACAGAAAAATGGGAGTTCCCCGACCACACACCTCAGGAAAAGAGACACTGGAACATTTTCCCTCGAAACTGTTTTTTTTTTGTTTTTTTTTAACTGGAGGTCAATTGAAGCTGGAATGACAACCCAAGGGAATCTGCTATAGCAAGTTGTTGAAATTTAGTGGGTAAAGCAAAAAAAAAAAAAAAATTAAAATGTCAGATATGGAGAACATCTCTACTTGAAAACTTTTAGAGCTTATTAGACAACACTAAACTTTTTGTGCTTATTAGACAACATGTTTAAATTCAATTTATTTAAAAACTTAAACGTATAATGTACTCATATGAATGAAATGCTTACAAAAACACTCATATACACAGTGAAGCCTTACATCCCATTTTCCATCCATCTTCATTTTCCGTCCCCACTGATTTGAGATACTATTAATAGGAAAATATATATTTTAAATAAATCAAGAGGCAAAACTATGTTACATGAATATAGAGAGTCTAGAATACAAAGAATGCTCAACAGGTTGTGAGTAAACATTTTCTATGTATCATCTGGATCATTTTGGATAAAGTGTCCCAGTCTTCTTACTCATAAAAAGATGAGCACATTGAGTCCTAAAGATGACAAGTGAGGAATATAATTTAGGTCATTAATGTCATCAACAGGCTACTTGAAGTCCTATGTCGAGGAAGGTTCTGAGTCTGCTTGTGGTGTGGGACAGAACCAATGACACAACTGATTCATATGCCTGACACAGACACTTGGAAGTTGGTGATAAATGTGGTGTCTTCTTCATGTCTCTGAGTCAGTTGAGTGATTCAGAGACTCTTTGAGCTTGGTTCATTTCAGCAGCATACTTTGAACATCCAAACTGTGCCAGATCCTCCGTTAGGCATTGGAGAATTTAAAATGAAAATAAAAAGAAATAATTTGCAGTTTTCACACAGCCTGTACAATTCCTATGTCTAGAAGATTTTCAAGTATGAGATCTTATATATCACATATTTTATAGATAGCGAAATTATTCTTAGCTTATTTACAATGGCCTTTAGGCTCAGCACTGCTGTGATAGTTTTTATAGGATACACTAAATGGACAATAATCATTTACTTCTACAATTATTCTACCAGTACAGGAACCACTAGGCACATGGAACTTTTTGAAGTTAAATTAAACTTTAATAGACTGAAGATTCAATTCCTCAGTCAAACTAACTTCAAAACCCACATTAAATATTCAATTCTGACTGTAGCAAGTATCTGCCAGATTGGACAGCACAGGCAGCAGGTTTTCAGAACTGCGGAGAAGTTCCAGTGGACAACACTACTGTAAGGAATAATTTTATAATATGTAACTTCATTTAAAATAAGGATGGAAGGAAGAAGAAAAGACACTATGTGGCCTTCACTTCTAAGTCCAACAACAACTAACATGAGGTGTCCAACTGAGAGATTATATACAGCCTGTTCCTAAAGTGTCTAACAACTTTGAAACAAACGTGTAATCTTTCAGCACTCAGAGTAATTCTGTAAGGGTCCACACTAAGTGATTTCCCACGATTCTCTGCCCATCATTCTCCTAACCACATTTTTCTTACCAAAATGTACAACTCTTTGGATTCCTTTGTTTAAAAACAAAAACAAAAGTCACACTTTCCTTTCTACAAAGCTTGTTTTTTGTGTTTTTCAGTGGCTAGTAAGAAAACAATGTTTAACAAAACTCCAGGCAGATTATTTTTTTTCTTTAGTGCTGAAGGAAAAATAATTATTTTTTATTCTGGTGCTAAAGTGTCCTAAAGGGACTCTGTAAAAATGCTTAGACTTCAAAGTGCTAGGGTCTAGATTGTCCTTAGTCATGTTACGCCACTGCAAATGGAAGTTGAAGTTTTTTATTCCTCTCCAAGCTAAGATTGCCAGATAAAATACAAGACACCCAGTTAAATTTGAATTTTAGATGAACAATGCAGTTTTAAACATAAGTATGTTCCATGCCACATGTAGAACATACTTATGGTAAAAAGATATTTATCTGACATCTCTATGTAACTACATTTTCTTATTGAACTCAGTCTGGCAACCTTACCCATTACTAAGTTTTTGACTTGACGATAAGCTTACCATGTTGAAAGACCATGAACTGCAAAGTAAAGCCTGTGACGCAGATCTAGAAACTCATTTTTTTTAAAAAGCCTTAACAGTTCTATACCTGGTATATGTTTTAAAAAGTATTTTGGGGGCGGGACTGGAAAGATGACTCAGCAGTTAAGAGCACCAGCTGCTCTTGTGGAGGACCCAGATTGATTCCCAGCACCCACATAGCCACTAAAAACCATCTGTAACTCCAGTTTCAGGGGATCCAAGACCTTCTTCTGACCTCCTCGGACACTGCACGACATGGGCGCACTTACACACATGCAGGCAATACACTCAAACACATAAAATGAATGATAAATTTAAGAAAAAAAATATTATAGGGGCTGGAGAGATGGCTCAGTGGTTAAGAGCAGAGGCTGCTCTTGCAGAAGACCAGGGTTCAATCCCGAACACCCACATGAAGGCTAACAAGCATCTGTAACCCCATTTCCAGGGGATACAGCACCCTCTTTGACCTGCGTGGGCACTGCTTGCCATGGGTGCACTTACATACATGCAGGCAATATACTAAAACATATAAAATAAAAATAAATAAACTTATAAAAATATTTTGTGTATTTTTATTTTATGTGTATGAGTGCTTTTTCCCACATGTATGTAAGTACATCACATATGTGCAGTGCTCCCGGGAACCAGAAGAGGGTTGGGATTCTCTGGAACTGGAGTTACAGAAGGCCACCATGTGAGTGCTGGGAACCCAACATGATTCTTCTGCAAGACCAAGTGCTCTCATCTGCTGAGCCAACTCCTTAGCACCCTGGTGTATGTTTTTAATCTCAGAGTCTGATCTCCCTAGGTTCTTCTTGCTATCCTTGACCTCATCTTCAATATCACCCTTTACCATGGTCTTCTTAGGCTATATACTCTTGGTTTTCTAGACTCCTTTATCCTCTTTAAATTTTTGTATTTTAAAAGTAGCCCCTGGTATTTCATATTTGTTTCTCTATTACTTGTTTCCCACACTGAAATGAAAAAAGGCATCATTCATATAAGAGCAGTAATCTTGTCTGTGATGTTTTACATTGTGCCAAGAAGAGTACTTCCAGTGTATCCTTAACATGTTAATGCATTTTGAAACCTAAAGTCAATATATGTTACTAGTTTTAGTACATAGCCTTTGAGAAAAGGGTTCAAATCCTGTTTTCCTGTGTGAACTTGGGCAAGTTCCTTAACTTCATTAAACAAAATTTACTTATATGAAAAATGAGGATAAAAATAGAAACAAAGTCATATGGTCTTGAGGATTCAGTGAGATAAGAATCACCTGAGCATAGAGGTGAGATTCCTGGGCTAAGCAGGTGCTGATCCACCCTTACCATCAACCACTCAGAAGAACTACATCTCAGTTTCATTGCTTGTAGTTCACATCTCTTATCATGTCATACAGTAGGAAAGGCATTAAAATGGCATGATGGACAGAAACCACTCATCACACATGGGTAACTGTTTTAAAAGTCCATTTTGGGGGCTGAAGTTAAGAGTGTATACTGCTCTTGCAGAGGATGTGAGTAAAGTTCCCAGCACCCATGTCAAGGAACTCACAACCACCTGTTAATTCCAGCTCTAGGGAATCCAGTGACCTCTCCTAGTTTCTGAGGGTACTTGCACTAAAATGCATACACACACACACACACACACACACACACACACACACACAGAGACAGAGAGAGAGACATACATACAGAGACACACACACAAAACTAAAACTAAAATAAGATCTTTAAAAATATATCCAGTGAACATCTTTGAAATATAAGTTTTGCATTTCTGTTGTAGCCTATTGACATTCGTACAGTATGGTTGATGCAAGAGAATATACCTCAGAGGCAATAAAATTATCTCTTAAGAACAGAATCAGAGAAATTGGATTCAAACCCACTTCTGTACTATCTGCTATTACAAGGACTGATTCCTTCATTTGCAAGTGATAATGACAGAAACCATCTTAGGTCATTGCATTAAATGAGATAATGCATGAGTACTTCTTTCTGGTTCACCCAAATATCTAACCCAGTGCCTGGCAAATATTTTTGACTGACACATAAAAAGTCTTTAGTATACTGTCCAGATTCCAGTACACATTCAATATGTACACACATTGAGAAACTTATACATATTGAGAAACAACATTGCTGCTTCTGATATTATTTCTACTGTCCTAGTGTGGATACCATGAAGAGTAAAGTGAAGTAACTACGTGTGGCTTGACAGCCCAAGGGAAAGTCACACTCTTCTTGTCTATAAAGTTAATGCTCTTTTCTTTTAAAAATACTGTATTTATTTTCATTTTACTTGTATGAGTGTATTGGTTGCATGTATGTAAGTTTACCCATGTGGTGCATTGTGCATGGAGGTCAGAAGAGGGCATCGGATCCCCTGGAACTGGAGTTACACACGATTGTTAGCTGCCGTGTGGGTTCTGGGAACCGAACCCAGGTCCTCTACAAGAGCAGCCAGGGCTCTTAACCCACTGAGTCATTTCTCCAGCCTCTTAATGCTCTATTCGAGATGGCAAGAACTGAGAAAGCAGGCATTATTCATTATCCTGAATAGTTTACATTTATTACATTACATCTGACTTATTCTACACTTCTCTAAGTCGCAAGTGGACAACCACAGTGTAAACTAGGATAGGAAGGATTATTTTTATCTGAAACCAACCAGTACCTGTGTTCCAATTTATGATGAAAACCCAATCATGGTGAGCAACATAGCATCCCATTTTAGCTTTATGACCTGGAATGAATCCTAAGTAAGCAAACTGTGTATGCATGTATTTGGATCTGTCGAATCCCTCAGGACCTTCATTTAGCCAAACAAAAATAAATATCAGTTGATATCTCTTCCCTTATCATTGCCTTGAAAAAACACTTTTTAACTCTAGGCCTGAAAAACTGAAACATAATTCTATTTCCTTAGGCCTCAAGGCAGACTGTTGCTAATGTTTATCCATTTCTTTCTCTCTATCTTTCTTTGTTGCGTCATCCCAGGCTGTCATGGTGTCCCTGCTGACAGATTACTCACCTACGCTCCAGAAGCCAAAGTTTTGATGCTGTGATGCTTGTCAAGATGAAAACAATGTACTCTAGCTACAGAATGAGTCAGGTTATGGGGAAAAGAGAAGAATTTAAGATATTAAAAAATCTGTACTACATCACATGAATAACTGTCTGGTATGGCTTTGTCATTGTGAGAACTTCTCGAAGCCCTTCGAGTGCTGAGGCTCTGCAATACTTGGCTTGACTTGATTTAAACTCTCTTGAACTCACAATTTCTAAATTTACAATTGGATATTATATTAATTAGCATATATATTTGCTTCATCTAAACATAATATAATGCATAATATCTAAGCCATTAAATACAATCTATGCTCATTACCTTAATAAATGATTGCTTCTGCTAATTTCCCAGGCACTCAGCTGTTAGTAGATATTTGGACTATGTTCATGTGCCTTAGGACCAAAGAGGGAGTCTAACGCTATACATTCAGCAAATAGGGCACAGTATTCAGGCCTGTAAGAAAGACATTCATTTACAGAGACTGATGATGAAATTCTCAAAAAACAATTACTTGCCCATACTGAACTATTTTTCCAATCATTTAAGGGAAAGGAAAAGAGTCAGGAGCATGCATCTCTCTGTATAATGAATAGTTATTACAAGTGGAAAGCAGCCTTTGTTGGCAAGTGGTGAAGCCACAGGTACCCATCTAGGAATGTGGTATCTTATTCCTAATTCTATTTTTTCCAATAGAAGCAATTTAATTTCTTCACTCTATACTTATCATGAACCTACTCTCTCTCTCTCTCACACACACACACACACATCTATTACTTGAACGTTTCAGTTTGTGTGTGTGTGTGTGTGTGTGTGTGTGTGTGTGTCTTTGTTTCAGGATTATCACAATTCGAACTGCTGAATTATGCTATAATTCAAAGTAGATTTCTCTTGTGAATTGCCGAAATTTGTATTGTTGGATTAGTGTGCTGTACTTTGCAATGTTTTTATTTGAAATGTTAAATGACAAAGGTGGAACATTTTAAAAATAACACATTTTATACAGGGCTTACTAAGGTAATTTCCTTTATGTTTAAAGTCTACTACTTAAAAAACATGTTTCCAGTCAGTTTGACTGATGACATTCCTTAACAAACCTTTATGGCTTGAATGAATAAGCAATAGATGAATCAAAATTGGATTTACAATGAAGATGCAATAAGTGTATTTGTGGGAGAGGCTTATGATATTACAGTAAAAATAAATTTTCCCAAAAAATGCTAAAGGTGACTTTCACATCTATAGGAGTTTACTGGAAGTACTTTAAAAAAGAGAGTAGGGCTTAGTAATATATTTTCTTTCAGCGAAGAATATCGGAATGATTCAGTCAGCAAGTGCTACATCGATTATGAAAGTTCACCCCCAACCTACCAATGCTAAAATTAGTAGGGCAATGGGACTGTCTCAGTTGGTAAAGTGCCTGCCCCACAAACATGAAGACCTGAGTTCAGATCCCCAGCATCCATGTAAAATAGCTGTGTGTCTCTGTAACCTTATCAGGGCATGAAGTGTCAGGGTGTGGAGACAGGCTGATATCTAGAGCTTGCTAAACAGCCAGTGTAGCCAATTTGTGAGCACGGGGTCCACTGAGAAACCCTATCTCAGAAGATAAAATACAGTATCCTTCCAAGTACCAAATGGTCCCCACGATAATGGCTCTCATAATTTTTCTCATTATTTATTGAGCTAAATATATGGTCTAGTGTTCTTACCTAAACCAGAGAAAATTGTCTTTTTTTGCCAATAATGTAGCCAGCCTTTCTTCAAAGTTCTCCAAGCTTTCTTCTTCACACAATTTAACTTCTGTTTCAAACAAAACTGGAAGTAATTGTTAGCTTTTAAAACTGCCTTATGAGAAAACATTATTTATATCATCACCAAAAAAGAAAACAGTAGAGGAAGTTTGGCCTTAAGTTTTTTAAAAATATTTTTGTCTTATTTTTCTTACGCTTTTCTCCCTGATTCCCTTTTTATGTAGCTATTGCAACTTCAGAAATTAACAAATTATCCTGTGACCCTTGGGTCCCTGGAGTATATAATAAATCTTACACATTTAATTAACGAACCAGCCAAAGAGTTATTTTCTTATAGGCTTTCTCCATGGAACACTGGGACTAGAAATCACAAGTGATTACACTGCAATATTTTCCATGATGGGAAAGAATGATCAATTGGGGCTTTTGGGCTTAATTTCTAGATACTTTAGGAATAAATAATTTATTGTCAGATGTCCTAAGGTATGTTCTACTAATGATTTGACTATTGTAAAAACCCATGAAAGACAGAACTTCCCAGAGGATCAACATGTGATGCCTTGTTATACTTCCTATGCATGTATGTTAGTTCCTTTTTGCATCATTGTGACAAAATCCCTGAAAGAGGCAGTTTAAAAGAAGAAGGATTTGCTTTGGTTCACTTTCAGAAGCTATGGTGTGGAAAGGCAGAGCAGAAGGCCCAGTCTGTGGTGGCAAAAAGTTGTAGTCTATTAACATCTTCACAGTTTAGGAAGCAGAGAGTAGAGCCAGGCTATCATCCTCAAAGACCTTGTGATGGTTAGTTTTTGTCAACTTGGCATAAACTACAGATAATGGGGAAGACAGAACTTCATTTGAGGAATCTTCTCCATCACATTGGCCTATGTCTATGTCTGTGGGATACTTTCTTAATTAGTAATTGATGCAGGAGGGCCCAGATTACTGTGGGTGGTGCCACTCCTGCACAGGTGGGCCAGGGCTGTGTGAGGAGGGTAACTGAGCAGGAAGTAAAGTCAGCAAAGCAGCATTCCCCTATGCTCTCTGCTTCAGTTCGTGCTTCCCGGTTCCTGCCTTGAATTGCTGCCCTGACTTCCCTCAATGATGAACTGTCACTTGGAAGTATAAGATGGAAATAAACCCTTCCCTCCCCGAGTTGTTTTTGGTCAAAGTGTTTGAATCACAACAATAAAAAGCAAACTAGATCAGATCTAACACCAGTGACCCACCTCTACCAGTCAACCTTCCTATCCTGTATGTCCCATAGCATTCAAAACAGCCCCACCAACTAGAGACTAAATATCAAACACATGCACTTGTGGAGAGATATTTCTTATCTAAACTATAATAAGACATAATCTTAGAACTTTAGTTAACATGGCAGAGTTCCTTGTCCAATGGCCAAGTTCCAGGGCAAGTCTTCTCACATGGGAAATATGGGTAGAGAATGTATATGGGGGAAGATATCCAGGACATATCCCTTCGGGAACTTTTTGTCTTACACTTTCTCATTAGTGATTTGTTACAGAGATGGTTAAGCCACACCTTGAGACATAGCATGTCTCAGAAGTTCTTCAGGATTGATGTATTTTGACAAATCTGAAGGGTCATATTGAATAATGGAAGATTAGTCTCATGCAATGACCAGGCTCGTACAACCAGGAATGGAATACATTGCTGTGCAAGTGGCACCCTGTGCAAAGATCACAAGTGAAAAACAGGAGTAAAGGCTGAGACCTGAACTGCAGTTACCAAGTCTTGTGTTCCCTTATAGGCATTTCAGCCAGGAAGAGTGCCCTTTTTTTGTAACATGTCACCTCAGCGGGGACACTCTTCAGTATTTCAAAAGCCTGAATGGAAAATTTGTTTTAAATCATATAACAGTCTGGTGTCAGCTGGTAAATAGGTCAGCCATCAACAGTTCACATCAGGAATATGTTCAATATCACCTTGTACTTGAGGCCAATATACATAGAGACAATGCAGCAATAGTTTTAATGCATTTCCTCATTTTGTGCTCCATTCCTTAAGACCACATAGTAGAAATTATGGTATTTGATGGTTCTGTGTGGTGTGTTGCATGACAAAGATCATTGAAATAGGGATTTTGTAGTTCTGTAATGTTGTAAAGAAATTATTTTAAATTATCAAGAATAATTAATATGAACTATTAGTAAAAGAACTATAGTCACATCAAATAGTAGGGAGATCCCTATCATTGGTTAAAACTTTCCAGTTTTATTAATACCTGTTTTTTCTCAGTAATACTAGATTTAGTTTCTAATCAATGCTTTTGTGATACTCATCCTTAGAGGAAATGTGAGCATAACAACTCTTTTCTGGAACAAAGCTATTGGGAAAACGAAGCTTTTAAATGTTATAGGGAGATGTATAGATGGCTCAGCAATTAAAAACACTTGCTGCTCTTCCACTGGACCCACATTTGGCTCCTAGAGACCACACAGTGGCTCACAGTCACATATAAGTTCTCCAAGTCTCTGAGCATCTGAGGGCATCTCTGGTCTCTGAGGGCACTTGCATTCATGTGCACATACCCACACATAAACACACACACACACACACACACACACACACACAAACACACACACACTATTTAAAAATAAAACAAATTAAAAATAAAACGAAATGGAACAGCATTTAAAAGTAATTGAGGCTATACCTTCACTTTACAGAAGAAAAAAGCTAATAACAGTAATGTTCCTAAGATATAAAATATATCCAACCAAGAGAACTAATTCTTGGGTTTAGCATTCCTCTACAAAGTATTTAGGATATAGTCACTTGACTTGATTTACCCATACATGTAATGGAGAATCGGAAGCTGGCTGGTCCAGAGCTATGGTTCTGTGGAGTCAGGGAATAGAAAGGAGTGTTCCTAAATGAGACAGTGATGATACTGGTATCTAGAAGTAGAAACAGAGTCACAAAAACACCCATGCAGTAGATGTTGGTGGTATCTCATCTGGACCCCTTTTGCCTGGATTTTCCACTCCCCTCCCTCCTCCCCACCTGCTGTTATCATTCTGTGGATGATTCACAGCTGCCCACTTCTCTGAAAGGCTGCTCTCAGGATTCAGAAACTACTCTTAGCCAAGTCACACTTACTGCAATCCTCATGCATAGCTTCCCCTCACTGCTCTAATCTGCTTTCCTTCTTCTGAGAATGCTTCCTCAATAAATCACTTGCACAGGAATCCCCAACAAAGGCTCAGCTTCTAGCCTTACATCTGATCTAAGATGTATGCGAATAAGATTTTGGGGGGTAGGGGGAGTAGGTGGGAGGATCTATGCTACTCAGTTTTCCAGCATCAAGGGGAAGTAGGGAGGTAAAAGAGGCCATTAGACAAATACTGAAGAGCTTGTATAGAGCAATAAACCCTTTCCATTATCAGGAACACAGCTTGGTATTCTGAATATTAGAAATAACAAATATTTTCTTATCACACGTTCAAATTCACAGCAAGAAACTTATCACCTAGATGGCATAGAAGCAAGAGAAGTCTGCTTTCACCACAGAAAAGGAGACCTATGTTAACTGACATAATCTGATTTATTTATTTGATGAACACTGCCATAGATAAGCAACCCTCATCTGTTTAATGGGTCTGCACTTTGCTGTAGCTTTCTGAGACAGTGCTGGAATACTTCATTTGTTCTCCAACTTTATGGTACAGAAGAAGCCCCTGGAGGCATTGATAACATACATTGCTTAGACTCATTTGCAAGCTTCTGATTCAGCTCTTCTGGCATGAAGCCCGAGACTTGGCGTATACAAGTTTCCAGGGATGTTGGTGCTGCTGTTCCAGGGACCACAGTTTGAGCGTCACTAGTCTGAGTGATTCAGACAATTTATATAAGTTGTTTTCATCAGCACAACCACGAAGTATAACCATTAATTATTAAACACAGTCCACATATCTGACTATTGCTTTGGAGTAGTTGAGGCCTGGGACTCACCCTTCTTTTTCTATAAAATAGCTTTCGAAACCTGCTCTCATTATATACGAAATTAAATAATAATGTTCACCTCACAGGGTTATTGTGTAGATTAAATGAAGTAACATATTTGCTCCAGAACTAATGCTAAGTAACTATTGGCCACCTTTTAATCATTCAAACATTTCTAAGACTTACATATTTTTTTATCCTTTTGTAAAAGTATGTGCCCCATCATAAGAAAGATATTAAGTACAACAGTTGATATAAACAAATGTACAGAGAATAAGCTCACTAGAAAATAAACCTTTAAATATTGAGAAACGAATACAAATTCATGTCATTTGAAATTTCTATTGAAAGCTTGTTTTGTTTTGGGGAAGAAGAGTCAGTTGGTTTCTTGGAGGTAA